TGTATCGATCACATCTTCACTCTCCGCCAAATTCTGGAGCATCAACATTCTTTTGGTGGACCCTGCGTCTCTGTTTTTCCCAATTTGAAAGCGGCTCTCGACTCAGTCGACCGCTGTAAACTGTGTTGCTGCCTTTCCCTGAAAGGTGTGCCCGAGAAGTTAATTTCAATATTACGATCGCTTTATACTAATAACCAAAGTCGAGCCCGAGCTTACGACATTTTTTCGCGAGTTCACCACAGAAAGTAGTGTTCGACAGGATTGCCCTCTCTCTCCATTTCTATTTAACTTTATTATAGATCTGATTATGGAAACAGCCCTATCCTGTGGGAGGATAGGGGCATCGATTTACTCTCAGGAGGCAGACTGTCTGTCGGTATGCGTTTTGCACCTTCAGAGTGTGAAATGCTAGTAGATGACTTAGACGCGTCAGATTGTTCACCAAGCTGCTTTGGCTAAAGTCCCTGAGACTTTCAATTTGAGTTTATGCTGTGGCCCCGAAACACTCATACAAGACCCTACTTTCATTATCGTTTTGCGTTCTCCTGATCCAACCTCAACCTCACGCCTTATCCTTCGTGTGTCTGGCGATCTGGCCTTCGAAGCTCGCGGTGTTGCTGGTGTTGGGATTGCGCTAAGTGCCATGGCTGAGCGCTCGATTCTTGACTGGATTCCAGTCAGTACCCGACTGTGCGCTGTACGTCTCAACGGTTCAGTTCGAGTCAACAGCTACAGAATGAAGCATTGAGAAACGATCCACCTTACATGGAAACCACCAATCTCTTTACCGGAATGACGGTATGAAAAGCCTAACCACCTGTCTGGCTCACATACTTCTCGTTAGGTTCCCCGACTGGGAACCTCAGAATGTTCGTACCCAATATTTAGAGACACTGATTGATAGGGGTGTGTCGTAAACAGTGGCGTTCGTGCATCTGACCTATTTGTCAGCAAAATCAGTAGAATGAAATCCTAAATTTTCTCTTCGAGCCTACATTTTACCTTTCCTGTGTTTCTCCTGATGTTCACGCAAATGGGCAGCCCAAAGACAGCAGACAATACCGGCGCACAGTTGTGCATGGCGACTATATACATATATAAATCGATTTTGTCCTATACTTTCCAGGTTAACCAGTACATTTGGAGGCGGCTTATGCGCATTCTCTTTTGCTGTGGTCTGTCCAGAGTCCATTCTTTTATCGATGCACATTGTGTATATCGTTCCTTTTTCACGTGTCCGTTGATCTTTATGGTTGGTGTTCTATTACTTTACGGTGACAGGTTATCAATGTATGACCACATACCCTCTGCAGAATCCGCGCTGCAAGGAACTGTCTAATTTAGTCAATACCACTTTTGTTTTAGCACATTTTTCTTGTCACGTTTGTGACTTCATCCGAACCGGATGCCATAACAATGTTGCATTGCATTTCCGGATTTGTGTCTATGCGTTGAAACACATAAATGTGTGACGCAAGTCAGATGAAACAATCCGATGAACTGTTGACACAAATCACTCGGTTCGGCAAACAGACGAAAATGAACCAGTACGACCTAGTTATTGAATATTTATAATGACCATTAATGATAGTGATATTCCACAGCGTGTGTGTAATGCCCGGATGAGGGGGGCGGGATGAGCCGAAAAGGGTGGACATTTGCATTCGGCTTTAAGCAACATAAAACTCATAGGAAATCGGGTCATCTGTGCCTTCTCTAAGCAATACCGATATTGGAATCCGAGTGTTCAGAAATGTCCAATTCTTTGTTATATCCATTCATTCATCATGATCACTAGTCCAATCATCTCTACTTGTAGTCTTTTCAATTCGCCTCTCAAGTGTAAACATACAAATTTTTTTTGCTAGTGTATTTGATTCTCGCATTCTTTACCTTGGTCTCCTTCATATCCCCCTCAATATCACAATTTTTTCATCATCACTTCCAATCTAGAATGATAGTGATGTGACTGAGCGTAACCGATTTAGTCATGTTCAAACGGTTGACACGTTACCGAATCCTCCTCGAATTGATTCTAAGCCATCCACAACTGCACCACCTGTCCCCACCGATTGGGGTCCGGAGGAATTTCCCTCTCTGGGCGATGTTCCCACAACGACCACCAACAATTCAAAAGCGAACGGCAAGGAAAAATCTAAAAAGAAGCAGACTGGTCATCAGAAACAACAATCTACTACTCGACCAAATACAAATCACGTGGAGTCTGTCGTGCCCAAAGATCCTGCCGAGAGTAAAAAGTCTGCAGCTTCGATGAAGAAAGCGTCAGCGACGTCGATTCCAGGCATTTCCAATCATGATTTGATTGATACAGAGTGCATTCTGTATGCTAAAGTGAGTTTTGTCATTCTTTTGAACACTTCATTGCTCATCTCAATCTTCAGCACCAAAAGTAGGTCTGAAGCTATGACGTGCCTACGTATTCAATCGTTCGGGCATATGATGAGGTCTTCCCAGGCAAGCACGAAGTGAGGAGGAAGTCGAGTACGAGCGTATGAAGTGTATGTGAC